CGCTTTTATGGCAAAAAATACAGTATCGAACCTATGTTACCCTGAGTCAGTACTGACTACTAGACTCAAGAAACCAACATTTTATACACAGATCATATAAGATCATGCTATCACATAAATGCTGTAGGTTTTATATAACCAAGAAATATCGGTGATCCTGGCAGCTAAGGAAAAGCCCCCAAATAAGCCTGTTAATATCTAGTCTACGTTGCTACCAAAATGGCTAACGTACCTGTGGGAACATAGGGCACAAGGGCCAAAATGACAAATTAGTTTCTGAGAGTCAGGTTTGGAAAGATCAGCTAAATGTTGGCCAGCATTTACTGCTGAATAACTTCAGCATCACCCCTATGTGTGTATCCTTATCAGGAAGATCCCAACAAAGAGCTCAGGGTCAGAAACTTAATCAGGTTTTGCATCAGGTTCTCACAGGCTCACATATGAAGTATGTACCATGAATAAGAGCTGTGAATCTTGACTCCTAAATAATTTTTTCTTCTAATTTTGTATTCAGTGCATGCCTTCAGGAGATAAAGAGACAATCCCATAAACTGCCTTTGTTGTTAATTACAAATTAGAGTTTTTAGATCTGCATCAAGTAAGGGCATTATCTCACTGTGTGCCCTACTTTACCCTTTACCCTAAAGAATTTGCTGTGGCCAAACTCAATTAAATTATGCAATCAGAGTTGGTTAAATGTGCAAACATTTTTACACAGAGTCACTTTTACATCATGCTATCAATGTAAAACATGACAGATATTTCCTTGGTCAAAGTTCACATTAGCAAAGATGTTTATGAATAACATGGCAAGAATAGCAAAGAATATTCTGAATAAACCAGAGTCAAAATCTCTCGGCACTTCTATACATGGAGAAAGTTTTGGGAATCAGAAGCAAAACTTCACCTGTAGTTTCAGTTACAATGAGCCAAACTCTGAGAAGCGTATACATTCGGCTGTGAACAGTCATGCTTATGTGGGGTAGAAAGATTGGGGCCAAAGAAATTAATTATCTAAATCAATGTGAAAGTACATCAGTAAGTAATTTGACGTCCGATCATAAGAGATACTTAGGTTTCTTCCCATACTCCTGGAATACAGACATTGCCAAGGCTGTCTTAATTTCTCAAATGCTATTTTCTTTATACATATTTTCTATTCTGAATACTGTATTGCAGGGCCCTCTAGCTGAGAAGTATAGAAGTGGACAGTCCTTTCTTCAGAGCATATCTAGATCATTCCTTAATTAGCTGGTGGACGCAATTTGATTTGAGAGACACAAAGTCCTGGCTCTTTTTCAGGAACTGAATGCCTTGTTCCTTGTCATACTAAGTCAAGATAGCACCCCCTAGTCCCAAACCCCTAGCAGTTTTACAGCTAAGGCACATGCCTGCGTGTAGACATGTCCTCTTAGACAAAATCTCCTTGAAATTGTGATGGCTGTTTCACAAGGACCCAGGACACACTTGGGAAAGAACATGGGCCAACCAGCCAAAGGCACAGTCTTACAGTCATGGTAACAGTAACTCAAATCTTGAAAGATTCCTGAAGCAATTTGGAAAAATGAAAAACACATTTCTTCTCCTGTTAGTCTTGCCCAGTACGTTCAGGTACACATATTACAGATATTTTCTTTCTCTTGCCTATTGACATCTACCAATAAATTTATCTGTTGCACATGTGAGATATTTAAAGCTCAGGTCTAGCTGAGTTTTCTTATGCAATTTTTTTCTTTCAGTATGTTTAAAAAAAAAAAAAAAACAGACGGTTTAGTTTAGTCACACGATTATTTTCTTGGTCCACTTTTGAATCTGTTTAAGTTTAGAGCTGATGCTAATTCTCCACAACATTCAGTTGTTTATTCCACAGCAAGTCTCACTGATAGAGATGCCAGCAGATGACTGAATTCTCCAGCCGAGGACACTGCTGGAGTAAAACACGAGGTCAGGCTGCCCTCTGCGGGCTGTGATCTAGCACTGGGATGAATTGTATTGCAACAGCTCATGGAAACTGATTAATGCTAGTACAAGGTTTCTACGTCTGAACACAGAATTTTGATGTGTGCTGTACATGTAATGCCAAATACAACAATTGGCTTTCTGCTGCCTGGTTGTTACTGCTGGAGAGGGAGAAGGAAATGTCTGATGCAGCAGTCAAGCACCCCAGGTACAAATAACAGCTCAATATGACACCACCTGGGAATTCCCAGGAGACCCAGAGACTGGGGATAACAGCTTCTGAACATAAAACCAGAGAAACTAAATGGATGGAAATACTTCACTTGGCACATGAGCTGCCAGGCAGGAATCAAGGACAGTGCATTACAGCACCACTCCAAGATTTAATCAGGAACAGGTTCCATTGTATTAGGCATATTACAAACACAGGTCTGCTTACTTCAGCATTTCACAACACGAGGACTGAATGTCAAACTAGTCCAAAGCAGCCTGAGGCAGAACAACAGGGATGAGCAACAGAAACATTTCTGAATGGCCCTGGGTCTACTACAAACTTCATTTTCATTGCTTGTTGTCAGTAGTGCCTCTGGCTCAGTTCCTTAAAGGCTTCATCCAAGTGCAGACGCTTGTTCCTACAGGGCTGATGACTCAAAAAGAATTACAAAGGATCAAGTTGTACATACTTTTTCTGGAAATGCAGTTTGGCTCAGAGTACAGCTTCTGAGCATGAAATTCTAACTAGGAGTGTTCAGATGGCTCCCTCTACCCTCGCCTATAGGTAAAATAATGCAATGGTGATGTACATGGTCACTCTTGACTCTTTGGGAACCACACAAGAATTCAGTTAGCTGTCAAGAAGGGCCAGTCTTTGAATACAAGACCCTTCCTAAATTCCTTGGGGTTTAGTTGTTGCAAAGATGCAAATATCATGTGGGATGTGATAGCCACAGGGGTCGGTCAATGCCTTCATAAACTCAAACCAGTCCTGTAGCTTGAAATAACATCATTTGAGAACCAAGTGGGACAAGTGAACTGCTAAGATGATAGGCTGTCATGTGTAGCAACCAAAGCTTTTACAAGCCAAATAACATGCAGCAGCTAAGCCCAGAGGTAACATTACTAATTGGTATACTAATTCACTCTACACAGGATACATAGGGTTATTTTTTTCCCTAAAAATAGCTATGAGGGATTCTCTCTGAACTTTGCAGCTTTGTGTCCTACCGATGAAACCAGGTCATCTGTGCCCTCTGCTGGTGAGAGCAGGTTCCTACCAAGAAGCTATGAACGGAACTCCTAGGAGTTACTGACCACCTTCCTAGTGTAACAAAATGCTGAAGAACATCACTGGACTTTTGTCACATAACTCTATGGATAGTGAACACTGGAGAGCGTTGTGACACTAGTATTTGGGCCTTTCTAGATAATTGTGCTATCAATAATTTAAAATTAATCATGAAGCCACTGAGTACCTCACATCGTAAATATTTTAGACACTTGCTTCAAAATTACAACATTTTACAATGCCAAAATTTAACATCAGACTCCATGAAAGATTTCAATTATGCCCCAGGACAAAGATATCTGAACTGAAACTCTGACAAAAACCTACTTTTAATTGTGGACTAATGCGAAAGAAAGATCTGAAAGTTTCTATACTTGCATAGTAGTAGTGTGCCTGAACTATTTTGCATAACACATATTGACTATCAAGATCAGCTTTTGCTTATGATTAAGCAGATTATCTGATGTCATTTTAGGGATGAACAGATTATAGCCCTAAATCCAAAGATGTAAGTAACAATGAAATCTTATTATGCATTAGAAAACAAACAATGCAGTCACAGCTGATCTGACAATTACTCGGGAATCTCTTAGTAAGGTCAATGCTAAGCACCTAAATTCTCCCCCAAAATGTATGCAGATTCTGGTTGCTAGACTTCCCTCTCTGCAAGTACACAGACGAATGATTGAGGGAGCCAATTTATAGCAGCTGGACGGCTCAATTATTTTTTTCCACTATTTTGGGGCAAAATCCAGTTTTTTGTCTATTTATATCACATTCAGACTCTTGCAGTCATTACAGTTGCAATATAGCATAAACCCGGAACTTTATCTTTGCTTCAGCTTCCACTGCCACAAGAACAAGTAAACTTGTGGTCCTGCTAACCTGCAGACTTCAGTGAAATTGGCTAAGCTCTAACTGATCATATTTGAGAGTATTTTATCTGGTTTCAATAATTTATTTTATGCTAACACTTGCAGAAACTGTGTGGCAGAACATTCATATATTTACTTATAGAGGAAAGCTTGAATTATAATGCTTCCAGTGGAATAGAAACATTTGAGGAAAACATGATGTGTTTGGAAAATAAATGTCTCATTTCACTGACAACATGTACTTCTGACCTCCTTGTGGTCTCCTTTACAACCCATTATATAAGCTAAAGCAGGGTAGTACAGTGTACCTGAAGTACGAACATAAGGAATAACCTACTGGGCATGCATAATTGTCCATCCAGCCCAGTATTGTGTCTTCCACAGTAGCAATGAGTGATGGCATAAAAAGACACTTGCAGATGTGACAGATGAGCAATTAGACAATAGATTAATGACTAGGAAGTCTGTAACCCATCAGAAGACAAATGAATGTCTCTACAGAAGGAGTAGATGTGAAGATGTGGAGCAGGATGCACAGACCAGGAAACGCCTGAAAATGGGATTCGAAGAAATACTGTATGAGCTGATTACATGGTGCTACTAGCAAATCAGCAAGGAGGGAGGTGTTGCATGCAGCTGAGAGCACAGACAACCAGAAAATTCATGATGGAAAATGACAGCGAACAGAACCACGCATGATACTACATATAAGACACTGATTAAACTTGGGAGAAGCATAGTTTGGACTTCAATCCCACTGTATGCTCTTCGGTATCCAATGCACAGAATGCTTGCTTTCTATAATGAAGCCCAGAATCGGAAAGGTATGAAGATGATTTTAAACATCTCTTTAGCTCTCCTCAAAAGCAGAGATCATACTGAGCCACTAACACTTAATTCTTTATTTCATCCAAGTAGTCACTGAAAACATGAATGTCAATCTGGTTATTATAAACACAATAAATTCCTGCGCAGAATAAAAACAGATTTTACACATAGCTCTACTAGCATGTTTTCATTCTGGGGTACAAAAATGAGGATTTGGATTACCTTCCAAATCCTCAACCTCTCTGAAGCAAAAGTCCAGACTGCAGGACATTCTTCTGTAATGTAGACAAATACATCCACTAGAGACTGGCCTGGTGCCATCAATCTAAATAGCAGAGATTTTCAGATAGAAAGGCTAGCACATTATCTCACTGTCTCACTCCATTTAAATTGATTTAATCTAGACAATTTCATTAATTTGTAAGAAGGAGAAAAGTTCCCAAAAGCTCTATCAATTAAAATAGCCTCGCTTTCAAGCTGTGTCTTAACTCACATTCAAGCAAAACGCTCACTCACCCCAAAAAAAGAACTACCTTGCCAAAAAAAGCCCCAACCCCAAGCCAGGAGAACTCTGCTCTCAAGAGTATTACAATAGGTAGTAATACTTGTGTTTATTTCAGTAGAAACAACATCAGGCATGAGCAGGTGAAGATGTATTGTTGCATATGACATGACATTGGTAGCCTGTCCATAACTGAGTCATCTCCAATTGAATTATCACCAATGAGAACAAGAAGTATCCAAACAGAATGTAACCTCAGCTGAGTTCTTTTGCACTGACACTGGTGAAATAATTTTTCCATTAGTTTCCAGTGATTTGCATTATTACCGGTCTGCCAGTATTTATCTAATATTCCCAGCAGTGAGAAATACCTCCATAAACTTGAGAAATTTGAGACTACTTTAAAAGAGCATAAAAACCCCGTATCTACAATTTGCAACATGTATAAGCACCACAGACTGGGTTCTGCAGTATGGCTACAAATTCAAGCTCAATATATTGGTAAGTAAATGCAAGGTTATTTGCAGAGACTCAATTTGTTTAATAAGCTTAGGGATAATCGTATAATTGTAGTATTTTCTTTGTTTCCTTTACTGCAAGGCATTTCATATTGAGGAGTCCTAGTAAGTCACTCTTACAACCAAAACCTGAATTCCAAACACATTTAAATGTTCTGTTTAAAAAAAATGGTTTTATATACATCAGGCACTCTTAGAATAACAAGAGGCCCTCAAGCATTAGAAAAGCTTTACCTCACCATCTGTGAAGAGGTGACTTATGATTTCATAAATTGTGAAGTACACTTAGGAATACTCCAACTGTTATAAAACTGTCTCCTTTTATATCTTCATGACACCTTACTGTTTCTTTATTCATTCTGCTGCTCAGAGATGGGAAGGCCCAGACACACCCAAAAGACATTTTTGCAAAAACAAATGTATTGCAAAGAGCATTTTAAATTACCATGTTCTCTTAGACACCTTAATCAAGCACGTGTGCCTTAAATCCACATTTTCTTCAGGAACGATGCAGGCTCCAAAACGGTATCTATGGTGAGAGAATGGGAAGGTCCCCATTAACATGATAAACGCCCTCACATTGATGGGAGAAAAGCTGTACCACTACTCAGCCCACTTGCTGACAACATTTTTGCATTCAAACCTACAACTCGTCATTTGTTTTTCTTTTTTTTAATGAAAGCAATACAAACCTGCAATACAAACCATATAAGCAGGCTGGATGTAGCCCCTGAACTGTACTTATAATATATATGTGTTTACATATAAAAATATACATTAAAAATTATTTGGATGTATTGCAAAACTATAGTAGACACCACTTAAATTCATCTGAAGAAGGGTTTGCCTCCTTTGCACACTGTAAAAGTCGAATAGAACTCTTTATGTTAAATCATCGAAGATAGGCACCTTCCAAACGCAGCATCCATCCAGTTAATAATTACCTAAACACAGAGATGGTACATATGTTTCATCATATGACTACCCACATAGAAAATCTACATTTCCTAAGAACATCTATAGAATATAACTTGACAAACCCACAATAAGCAGATTTAAAAAAAAAAACATAATTACCTTTTAAACTTATGATATTTGATATGTCTGGATTTTGAGAAGGAAATAGCTAGCTCTGCTCCTGAGCCACTTCAGCAAAGGTGTCCACATAGAACTAATATTTACTTCCATACAGTACTTGGACTGTAGCTCTCCATGCCTGCAAAGCATGGAGGTAGTAACAACAATCAGTACAGCAGAATCATTAGTAAGACTTCATCACAAGATCAACAGTCATAGTCAGACTTCCCAGATGACACAATTTAAAACACAGTGGTTAAATAGTAGTTTTGTCCTGTCATTTGATTTGTCTCTCTCTGCTTGCTCCTAGCATATGAGGAAGTTGGTGTTCATTCATCTCCAAAAATTAATGAGAAAATTTTTCTCCATTTGGTATTACAGGTTCTCTTCCCTTTCCCATACTGGTCCGTCACCTTCCCAACATTTCACTCTGCTCCCCCAGCGCCAAATCAATCCTGTTCCCCTACTTTTTGCCCAGCGCCCAAACACTATCCCATGAATTGCAGCTGTTCCCAACCGCCCACCAGCTATATCTATAACCTCTGCTCACCCCACCTTACCTCTGCTTTTCCTGCAGCACAGGAAAATGGAAGGGATGATCTTTTTCTCTGAAGTATTTGGCTTGGAGGTGAAGTAAAGCCCCCTTTATCTCCTTCAAAGCTCTGGGGAAAAAAAACAGCAGTGAAACAGGTAACATGCACTGCCACAAGCCCTCTCATGCTGTGGTACACTGCAAGCCCTAGAAGGACCACAGTCAGCCAGGACCATGCCACCAGCCCCACTGGCCTCTCACCCAGCAGGAAGATGTCACTGACTTTCTGAGCTTATCACCCTTACGCTGTTTTGTGGAGAGCTGGGCATTTCAATGTTTCCCAGAGGACCTCACAGTCCCTGCAGACGGTGACAGATCCCAACTGTCCCAGCAGACAGCACGCCAGGCCTTCGGCCACCCATGCCAGAACTGCTCCTTATCTGCAGCATGCTGGCAGATGTGAGTGGAGGCCATGGTCTCCCAGCCCTCACGAAGCACAGCAGCACATGTAGACCCAGAGACCTTTGTCGGAGCCTGATGGCAGGCCCCTGGGCACGGAGACAGCAGTGGTGGGCGCCCCTTCCCCCTCACCCCCCTGCCCGGGCATTGCCCGCAGAGGCGGGGGGCTGGCTCGGGGCACCCAGAGCCCATTGCCCGCTCCCACCCCTGGCAGTGTCCCACACTGTCCGCACCCTGGGGGCTGGCAGAGGGTCCCTGCCCTGGGCAGGCCCGGTACAGGCGGCCCGGTTCGATCGACAATGCCGGGAGTCCGGCCAGCGGCGTCCCGCGGGAGGACAGCGCTCTCGGCTGCCCAGGCCCACGGCGCACGGCGCAGGCCGCCCCGGGCGGAGCGGG